CGAAAGCCATGAAAAAGGACCAAATTCTGATGCTGAAGCATACAATAACTGAACTGAAAAATTCAATAGAGAGTTTCAATAGCACATTTGATCAAGCAGAAGAAATATGCAGTAAACTTGAAAACATTCATTAGAAATTATCCAGTCAGAGGAGCAAAAGAATAAAAAATATAAAACAGTGAAGAAAGCCTATAAGAATTGGAAGCACTATTCAAGTGAACCATGTGATATGCATCATGGGAATCCCAAAATGAGAGAGAGAGAGAGAGAGAGAACTTATTTCAACAAACAATGGCAGAAAACGTCCCAAATCTAAAGAGGGTAATAAAAATTCCAGATTCATGAAGACCGAAGTTTCCAAATAAGAAGAATTCGAAGAAGCCTACACTTCTAACAATATTCGAATTGTCAAAAGTGAAAGACAAAAGAGCATTTTGAAAGCAACAAGAGAAAAACAACATCATATACCAGGGAGCCCCCATAAGACTGTTAGTGGATTTCTTAGCAGGAAGTTCAGGCAAGAAGGGAATGAGATAATATATTTAAAGTATTGAAAGAAAAAAAAAAAAACTGCTACTCAAAATAGTAACAGTATTGGCCAAACTGTATCAAAAATGAAGGAGAAATAGAGAGTTTCCCAAACAAAAGCTTAGGTCGTCTGTCACCACTAGAAATGCTTTACAAGAAACGTAAAAGGGAATTATTCAAGTTAAAAATCAAAGGATGTTAAAGAGCAACTCAAAATTATACAAAAGTAACACTCAATAATAAAAGTAAATATATAGAGTATGCACTAATACTGCATTGGTGGTGCATAAATCATTTTTCATATTAGCATGAAAGTTTTTAAAAAGCAAAAATATTAAGAATACCCATAATCCCAAGAATTTAATGATTCACAATATTTAAAAATTGTGACAACAGCAACATAAAGTATGGGGAGGGAGAAGCAGACTATATAATTATTGTGTAGGATTGCAATTAGATTGATAACAGCTTAAAATACATTTATAACTATTAAAAAACAAAATTTAAAAAGAAGAAATCAAAGAATAACAGTACAAAACATTAAAAGACAAATGAAGACATCAAGAGAGGAAAAGAGGAACAAAAGAACTACAAACAGAAAACAACCAAAGACCACATGGTTTCACTGATGAATTCTACCAAACCCTTAAAAATTGGTAGCTATTCTTCTCAAACGCTTCCAAAAAATAGAAGAGGAGGAAACACTTTCAAACTCATTTTAAGAGGCCTGCATTACCCTGATAACCCAAACCAGTCAAGAAAAATACGAGAAAAGAAAATTACAGGCCAGTAACCCTGATGAACACACATAAAACTCAACTCAAAATGGATAAGACTTAATGTAAGACTTGAAACTGTAAAACTCCTAGGAGAAAACAGGAGAAAGCTTCTCTACATTGGTCTTTACAATGATTTCTTGATATGGCACCAGAAGCAGAAGCAACAAATGTCATGTATAATAAACAAGATGGACTATGCCAAACTAAAAGCTTCTGCATAGAAAAGGAAACAATCAGTACAGTGGAAAGGCAACCTAGAAAATGGGAGAAATTATTGCAAACCATGTATCTGATAATGGGTTAATTGTAAAATATATGAGGAACACCTACAACACAAAAGCAAAACAAACAACCCCCCCAAAACAGATACTACTATATATAAAATAGATAAACAATAATAGTAAGCTACATTTAATATCTTGTAGTAACCTATACTGAAAAAGAATACGAAAACGAATATATGTATGCATATGCAGGATTGAACTATTATGCTGTACACCAGAAATTGATACATTGTAAACTGACTGTATTTCAATAAAAAATTGAATTAAATTAAATTAAAAATCAAACAGAAAACGAAGCTGGGCAAAACACTTACAACTTTTCTCCAAAGAAGGCTAACCAATGACTAATACAGGTATATGAAATTCTCAAAACTACAATGAGATATCACCTCACACTTCCTAGTATGGCCATTATTAAAAAAAAAAAAAAAAGGTAAATGTTGGTAGGAAGTGGAAAATTGGAACTCTTGTACACTGTTAATGGAAATGTAAAATGGTACAACAGCTATGGAAAACTATGAAGATTCCTAAAAAATTAAAAACAGAACCATCATGTGATCCAGCAATCCCACTCATGAATATATATCCAAAAGAATTTAAATCAGGATCTTACAGAGATACTGCGTTCCTACATTTATTGCCGCGCCATTCATAATAGCCATGATATGGAAACAACCCAAGTGTCTACGTACAGATGAATGGATAATGAAAATGTATTACATACATACACTGAATTATTATTTAGCCTTAAAAAGAAATCCTGCCATTTCCAACAATGTGAATAAACCTAGAGAGAACATTATGCAAAGTGAAATAAACCACTCACATGACAAATATTATATGAGTATTTATACAGTTTTTTAAAATAGTAAAATTCATAAAAGCAGAGAATACAATAGGGTTTGTCAGGTGCTGGAATTGGGGAACATGGGGCATTGTTATCCAATGGGTATAAAATTTCAATTATGCTAGATGAATAAACTCTGGAAAATATGCTGTACAACATAGTACCTACAGTTAACAATGCAGTATTGTGCTCTTCAAACTTTAGGAGGGTAGATCTCATGTTAAGTGTTCTCACCACAATAAATAAATAGGAATTCAAGAAAACTCTGGGAGGTATTGATATGTATATTACCTTGATTGTGGTGATGGCATCAAAGTTGTTTGCATATGTCCCAACTCATCAAATTATACACATTAAATACATGCAGCAGTTCTTTGCATATCAGTTATAATGTAATAAAGCTGTTAAAAACAGGGAACTCCCTCAGCCTGATAAAATGAATATAAGAAACATCTCCAGCCTAGATCTACATTAATGAAGGAAACCTGAATATTTTCCCAGTGTAACTTGGAAAAGGGTAGTAATTCCCACTTTCAGCACTCCTGTTCAGCATTGTTCTGAAGGTCCCAGCCAGTGCAGTAAGGCCAAAAAAAAGCATTAAAAGACATAGAAACAGGAAAGTTAGAAGTAAACCTTTTGCAGATAGTATAATTGTTTAAACAGAAAATTCCATGAAATCCACAGTTACTAAAATCTACGAATGAATATGGTAAAATTTAATGATAAAAGATTAAAATACCAAAATCAGTTGTATTTTTACTAACTGGTGGCAACAATTAAAAATTAAAACATTTAAATTTCCATTCACTATACACAAAAAATAAAATACCTATGAAAAAGTCTAACAAAAGGTGCACTGTGTCTCAACAATGTAAACAACAAATCATTAATGATAGAAGATAAAAAAGACAACTGGAGGAAGAAATATGCAATATTCATGGACTAAAACACTCAATATTTTTAAAATAGCAACTCCTCACACTTCAACTAGGCATCAAATACAATTCAAGTTACACAAGTTCACAAACTGATTCCAAAACCATTCTGAATAAAAAGAAAAAGTTTTAAGACTTACGCCACCCAATTTTGAGAATAAAGCTACAAAATAAAAAAAACTGTTTGGTATTAGTGAAAAGATAGATATAAACATCGTTGTAACAAAACACAGCACCCAGAAATACGTCCACTTATAGAAGGCCAATTTGTTTCTGACAGGGAGGCCAAAATAATTAAATTTAACTTGTATGCATAAAGATTGAGCATTCTCCCTTCTCTCTTGCCATCATAAAAATTAACTCCAAATGAAAACCTTACCTAAATATCCAACAACAAAAAACTGTAAAATCTCTTAAAGAAAACACAGTGTATTTGTCATATGGCAAAGATTTCTTAGATAAGCTAAACAAAACATGGAACATAAAAGCAAAACCTTCTAAATTGGGGCTTAATTTTAAAAAATGTTCTTCAAAAAAACATTATTTATACAATTAAGAGAAAAACTGTTGTGCTGCCAGGTATTAAGGTGATAAATAGGACAATGAGCCAAACCAAAAGTCACAATCCGGACTTCGTTGGGTCACTGTGTGTATTAGCTTGTTAGGGCCGCCATAACAAAGTACCACACAAACTGGGTGGTTCAGACTTACAGTTCTGGAGGCTGAAAGTCTGAGACCAGGATGTCAGCGGGGTGGTTTCTTTTAAAGCCTCTCTCCTGGGCTCGTAGCCAGCCATCTTCTCCCTAAGTCTTCACACTGTCTTCCCTCTGTG